CACACACACACACACACCACACACACCACACACACACGCACACACACCCTTTTATTATAAAGCATGTTAATTGACTCCCAAAGGTTTCCCATTTACAACTGCTTAATAGAGCGGGCAATCAACAGCAGAATAAAGGGGATACGAAAGCAATTATAGAAGAAAATGGGGATTATATGCGATCAAAATTAGAAATAACAGAAATTATCTGTCTGTCCCTTCTGTTACTCTGGCTCTCTGTCTACGTTATCTGGCTCGGTTCATCTCTACCTCGATCTCTGGTTGATGGTCTCAGTGTGGGTGTGTGTATTCTATACCATTCCTGCGTGTAACTCATTCGCTCTCCTCTCTCTCTCTCTCTCTCTCTCTCTCTCTCTCTCTCTCTCTCTCTCTCTCTCTCTCTCTCTCTATATATATATATATATATATATATATATATTTATATATATACACATATGTATGCACATATATATACATAGATTTATATATATATATATATATATATATATATATATATATATATATATATATATATATTATATATATATATGTGTTGTGTGTGTGTGTGTGTGTGTGTGTGTGTGTGTGTGTAGTATATATATATATATATATATATTATATATATATATATGTATAAATATTATAGGTATATTCATAAATATATGAATCTATCTATATTTATCTACCTATCTATCTTATGTATATATATATATATATATATATATAATATATATATATATATATATATATATATATATATATATATATATATATATATATATATATATATATATATATTAATATATATATATATATATATATATATATATATATACTTACACACACACACACACACACGCCTGTCTATCTCTTAATATGATTTTGATTGTGTGCCTATGATGCCAGACTATGTGGCCCGCTGGACATGCTGCAGACCCTGAACCACATGATGATCACATGACCAGCAACATTGACCCCTCCAGAGCTCGAGAGAGAGAGAGACAAGGACAGTAAAAAAATTCACCTACTACTGCTTCCCATCCTTTGGCCATGATCCAAGCGAGGTCAAGCCAGACAGAGAACCATTAAATTCTCTGAGCAGATTCACCTAAGGATGCACTAGCCTCTAAGCCTCTTCCCTTATAACGGAATAATGGTTATATTGAGTTATTGCAGCTTATAACAAAGGGGAAAAACTTGTTAGATTAAGCCAGGTGTTGATTATTTATTAATATCTTTCATGCAGAATTCTCTTTTTTCGTGATATTATTTTCTTCCTGTAGGTATAGCATTGCTTGCATATTCCCCTTAGATCCAAGTGGAAAAAGTGGCTAAAAGCATATCAACGGATAGTAAAACACATTAGTTTATTTTGTCAGACTGATATCATGTTATAAGCAAGGTATAAGAGAAAGAATCAGATAATTGTAATTCTCCCAAAGATTCCCACATTCCCAATAAATATCTAATTTTGTTAAGAATTTGCAGTTAGGATTACTAATTATTGTAATAATTATATCTATGACAATAACCATTACAAGTAACAAAGAATGCTCATAAACTACTATTTGTATTTGCTGACTGAGTACTTGCAGAGCCACCTATGTGTAGATACATTTCACAAAACAATACTACAATGAACATTATTTTTTCCGGGCAAGAAGGTGGTTTAAATCAGGATACACAAGTCAATAGATTTTCTATTTGAGGACAGGCAGCCCTCTAGCGAACGACAATCTAGGGCGAAATTCCATATTTTCCCCCAAAGAAAATTCTCTCCAGGAATCCCGACATTTCCCCCTGATCAAAGACCAGATGAAAGAGATAAAGGATGAAAAGATTAACAGGATTATTGAACCTGTGGACTTCCACGTTCCCAATTTCGTTCATTTTCTCATATTTTAAAAGATTTTTTTGCTTATTTATCTTTTCTATTTATCTCCTTATTTATTGAAAGAGGAGGATAGTCGAATCAACACCTTTATATGATAAATAGATTTTATTGCTATTTACATCATTTTAAACTAATAATACAAAGAGTTCTCCGTATAGATGTCATACTAGTGATCTTCTAGTCGGATCTGAAAAAAAGCAGAAACAGACATGTGAAAGGAGTAAACAGAGAGATAACCTATAAATATCTACAGAGAAAATGAGCTGTAGATTATTTACTTATGAACTACTTATGACTAAGGACTGATGCGTCATCTCAAACAAAATTCATTATCATTGTTTCTATACTTCCATATGCTATTTCTAAACTAATAATACGGAATCACATAAAAAATCGCTTAGCAAAATCACTAAATATTAATACAAGATTTTTCAATGTAATATAAGATCCCCCAAATCTTTTTAATCCCAAAGACTGACCACATAAAGGTCTCGAAACTCAATTTAAGTTCAAAGAGACAGGAGAAAACAGCCACAATAACAAATGAAATTGCTTATCTTTGTCCCCGTTTCCTCTTATCTTTGCGCACACATTACTTTGTTTTATTCA